CTTAACAGCAACCCAGTAGAGTCCAGATGCCTTAAGAATGATTGGTAAGGGTTTTATATAATGTCCAAGGTACAGTGTGCATACGTATAATGTGGTACATGCAAATATATTTAGAAGATAGTTCATAATACGAAGATATTTCGGTAAAGATTCCCAAGTTTTGGGAGGGGATTGACAAAGGCTTGGGAGGGGTCGGAAGGGTTCGGGGGTTGCGACAGGGTTGAGGGAGGGTTGGGAGAGGGTGGGAGGGTGCTAAGGAGGTTGTAAAACCCTTGCCGCAGTGCGGGCCTCTGCAGCATGCTTGGATTCTATCGCTGGCACACGATTCTTTTGTCACAAAATGGAGGTTGGACAGTCGCGCTGCATCGCTTGCAGCAGGACGTCAGAGCTTTCAGGACAACGGATGAAGTAGTTTCTTCTCTACGATCCGAGGATTTCCGGAGAAAACAGTTCTTTGCCCTCCATCGTTTGCTTGATGTCTCTAGCTCTCGAGTCCTCCGTTCTTTGCAAGGCTTCTGTCTGCACACTCCGAGTGATCAGTCATCGGGATTTTACCCGATGTGAATCGACAAGCCCACTCTTCTTTTCTGCAAGTTTAACATGCGACCCCAAGAGGGACCTCACACGGACTGCAGTCCTTTTAGGACGGAGCCACTTGGATTCCATGCTAGATTCCATGCCTGCTTGAAAGCAGGTAAACTCAAGGATTTGAAATGTGGTTGCAATGCAGGGTTCTTCTCGGCAGTCGAGAAGCATTTTTCGAAACTATTCTCGGTGTAACCCTCTCTGCCGCACTTAGTCTAAGTGGGGGACCATTGAACTCTAAAATTGAAGAAGGCACCATTCATCCTCCAAAGTCCTGGCTACTTCTAACACATTCTCAGTTCATTATAGTTCTTACTGCCTCGGTCCCAACAAGGGATTCTAAGCCATGATTTCATTTCTCTACATGCGCCTCTCTACCCATACAGAAAACCATTACATGGAGGCTCTAAACTAAAAGAACCATATATACCCGGCTAGAACTTCTATTGAACCGCTATAATCCATGTAAACTCCAAACCCGAACCCCCGAAGGTGCTGCGCGGAACACCGTTGCATGAGGCTTTGTCCGGCTGGGGACGGCACTTCAGGATGCAGGGCTGACAGTCTAGGTGTTGGGTTTTGAGTGTGAGATTTAGGGGTTTGGGTGAAATTGAAGCTAGGGGTTTACATCGCAAGTTTGATCCCTTCTCGTGAATATTAGCCATTGTCCGACTTGGCCTACATGTTTTTAGTTTGGCGGACAGTTTACGATTTCATGGGCATCTTTCAGGTTGGTGTCTAGGGCGTTTCCCTGGAAGGCGCTCAGGTCTGTAAGGTTTCTGTTCATTCTAGACGGAGTGTCGAGTATTGTGCCAAATAAGGACTGGGATACTAGAGTAGCATTTTCACGGGAACAACACCTTGTGCCCTCAGGCCAGAGGTTTCAGTTTTCAGTACGGAAGCTAGGCAAATCGAGACGTGAATTTGACATACTCTGTACAAGGCCAGAAGACGACGCTGCGACAGCATGTGATTGAGTTTGTTTTAGACGTCTTCAACTGCACGATTCATGCAGCCAAGTTTCATGCAACCAGGCTTTGAAGACTGGCGCAGATGATTGCGCATCACTTCGTACCGCTTTCTCAACCAGTCTCCCCTTCTCTGCAACAGAATTCACCCGACTCCGTAACCAACTTCCGACGGGTTTGCAACCAATCTACAGAGGTCGTTTGTGCCCGCAGCATCACATCCATACCCATGCCCTGACCATTGACACACTTGACCGCCTCCCACTGTTGAGCGCCCATGCCCTTAATAGTATTACGTCCATTTTCAAGCGCATCCATTCCCAGAGCAGCCATCTCCGCACGAGGATGCGATGCATTCTGGGGCATCCCATTCCAAGAGCTTCCATCCCCAGAGAATCGTTTCGGGATTCGCCAAGACGAACACGTTGTGACGGTCCCTTCTGACCACCTAAGAGATCCGTTTCCATTCTTCTTGATGCTTCCTGATGACGGTGAGCCTGGTTTTTGCCTGTGGAAACCTTGTTTACCTGCAGTTGCTTGGTGTTCATCTTGCTGACAAGGGCACCAACACGTGCTCATGTTGTGTGAGTTGCCGCGGACGCGGCCCGTTCCCACGACATTACATCCATGCCTGACGTGGGTATGGATGTGGCGGGAACGGGATGCAGTCGAGCAGAGCATCAAAATAACCACCATGTGGGCCTGGGTGCGGTGGAAAAGGGATGCAGCCGAGCATGGTGTAAGAGCGCGTTGCAGTCAAGCATGGACATGATCAGGATGCGGCTCTGGATTTTGCGGAAACGGGATGCAGTCACACGTGATCAGACATGGGCATGCATGTTCTCGTCTTGGCGAACCCAGAAATGATGCTCTGGGGATGGAAGCTCTTGGAATGGGATGCGCGAGAGCATGCAAGGAATTAAAATAGGATGTGGGAACTTGGCTGTCTTCTGCCTGGCTGTTAGGACTTCAACTTTTTAGGTTCCCTACTTTCTATATTAAGGAGGCTAAAAGTTTAACTTTTAGGGGAGGTCCTAAAGACAGCTAAGGGAATGGATGCTACCACGTATTGAGCTCTTGCAGGAGTGCGTGGAGCTTCTTTCGCATTTTGACAGTGCATTGAGCTCCCAAGAGTGTCCTCAAATTTGGGTTCAATCTTCAGCTCTCGTATGGAGCTTGCTCACATTTCCATACCATCTTGAGCTCCTGCATAGAGCGTCCTTAGATTTTGGTTCTGAATTTTGAAGTCTCGCGTGGAGCGGCCTCACATTTTTAGTCTACAGAGTGCCTAGGACCACCCAGGAATCAAACGAAACCAAGTAGTAAAACAAACAGGCAGTTAAATTGATTTTTAATGCCTTCGATAAAAACGCGCGACTTGGCTGTAAACTGTGCATCGTGCCATATGCCCCATGTGAGAGCAGGGTTCAGAAGTTAGTTACCCTTTGAGCGCTAAGTCGCTGCTTTCAAGGATCGCGCCTGGGGCATTCTCATAATTTGGCCCGGTATTACGCGATTTTTTGACATGCTGCTTCAGGGGTGCAGTTTGAATAATGGTCATGGTCCTTTGACTTGTGCTAGACTGGGGTCTGTGCCAGCATGTTTGTTCGCATTATGTGACAGAAGGACACCCCAAATTCAGAAACTTGAAGATTGCGGTCATTCTATCTGGATGTTTAGGCAGCTGGTAGGAGCTATCAACACGAGACACACCTAGTTTTGGCAGACCCTCAGCACTAAACTAGGCATTGAACCGATTGCAGTCGCTTTCCTCCCAGCTTGCGGGAACCGCCAAGTTTGGAGTGCAGGTGGCAGCAGGAAAACCGGCGCTGATATGATATGGTAACGACAACGAACTGTGACATTCAACAGTAGCAAGAATAACATGATGCCATCTCTGCAAAGGGTTATCTTCAAACAGATCCTAAACCTGGCTTCAGGAAATTGCAAAGGCCATCTCCCTGGACCTTATTACTCGTAGCACCAGAATAAGATATCTATCGCAAGAAACTTCAAGGCAAGGAAGGCTGTAGTGACATTCATGATAGCATCGGGTGATTATGGCTACGCACTTGTCAAGTCCGCACGTTGCTGCTGCAGAATTGCGTTTGCTGGAGCCGCACGCTGCAGTTTCTGATACGTGGCAGTGCAGTCGCCGAATCTGCCCATTCCAGTTGCCGAATCAGGTGTTTCAGTGCTGCCGAATCCATGCGTTCCAGTTGCCGAATCCGCGTTTGCAGTTGGGAAATCGCATGTTCCGATTGCTAAGTCCTTTCGGGACCCCTTGTCTTTTTGCCATGTAAGAATTGGGCAGTATCCGTGTTGGTACGTTTTTGTAGCGCCGGAATCTTGTTCCTGCGTATATCATTTGAATGCCCCACATTTTGGAGGACACCGGACGACGGTCTGTTCGACGTCGATACGACGAAATATCAACTCAGCAAGTCTGCCAGCAGGTTGGATCATTTCCTAAGCCATGATTGGGCTTCCAGCCGGTGGTTGAAGCTGATGTCTTTGCTGGTCCTTCACAACTCCGGGCCTGCATTCTGTACTTCTTTGGCCACAAGCCTTCTGGTGGGCATCCTGGTTGCTTGCGAGCTGCTGCCCTACAGCTTGTGGACTCCGCTGTTAGGACATTTCAGCTTCTTTTTTGTGCTGTGCTTCTGGCAACGGATTCGAGCTTCGTTTGGCCACCCACTCATGGTCTTCTTGGACGTTTTGTGCATCGCGCAGCACGATGAGAAGCACCTGGGATAGTATCGGGAGTTATGGTGCAGGTTGGTCAGGCATGCGAAAGGATAAGGGGGAGAATGGGAACATGCGCATCTCAAATGTTTCAGAGTTGGGGATGCACCAGGGTTCTACCAATGGAGGTCATGAGCAGCATTCCCCCAAAGAAGGCATCTTGCGAGCTACAGTCAAACAACCCCCCGAACTCCTTTAGAGGGGATAGAAAGGGAGATTTGAAATGGGTCCTATTATAGGGCTTATAAGGGGGGGTGAAAGGAGTTGTGACAGCTCATGTAAGGCTGAAGAAGAAGGGCATCCTGGGCTTGGGTGCTTTCGTGGTGAACAGCAAGAGCCTGGTGGTTCTCTGGACTCCGCGGCCCTGCGACTTCTGTTCAGTTCATTTTTGGGTTTGGCGCTGAAGTATGCGGTGCTTGTGTTTATCAGATTTGAAGCTGGGATGGCAGGTGTTTGTTTTGAAGATGCAGGTGTAGGCTTTTGGGCTGTCGTCATTTTCTTCAACAACAACAACATCGAGGCGTATGCGGCGGCTAAGACGTACAAGGTTGCGGTCTATGTCATTCCGGCTCCCCTGGACTTGCCGGCGGCGGCCTACAACGACGGTGCCAAGGACAAGATCGCGCTTTGGTTCACGGACAAGCCGGGGCACTTTGACTGGCTTAGGCCTGCCAAGGGGGATGAGCTGCCTGAGGAGCTCAGGACCATCGCCACGGACACCCAGCCGGGCACCTTTCCTCGTGGCGGCGGTGGAGGACGGGAGGCGGGCGCACAGTCTGAGGCCACGTTCTTCACAGGCTTTGGCGGCGCTGGCGGCGGGCAGTTGGCGGACACCCACTCGGAGGCCACCGTCTTCACTTCCAAACTGGTTGCCGACGTGGGCAAGGCTTCGACGGACTTTTTGGCGGCACCGGCTGTGGCGATCGACACGGCCGTCTTGGCTTCGGCGGGCGATCTGGCGGCACCGGCCCTGGAGCAGCAGGGCAGCTGCTGCGCTTCTGGACCAGTCGCTGCGGGCTTCACTGTGAGGGACTGGCTTGCTAAGGCGAGGAGGGCGGGCTCCGAGGCATTTACTGGTCGGCTCTCGACTGCCTCTGCTGCTGATGCAGGTTGCGCCCTGGATGAGGAGGATACCGTTGGGGAGATGCCGGAGCAGCCCCCGCGACCTCAACAGGGCCCAAGACGGCGCTGTGGCACCGGCCAGCGCACCAAGCATGCGGCGTGGACGTGTGCGGAATGCGGCTGGAGCACGGGGCGCACTGTTTACTGGCCTCAGAAGAAGGCGGCGCACATTGCCAACTTCCACCCGGACATCAAGCGAGAGCTCAGCTTGCGTCTTCAGGCCATCCAGATGGTGCCCTACTGCGCGGACACCTGTTGTTGGAAGTGCCCGGTACCTGGATGCAACCTGGGGCTCCCGGCAACTGAGTCCACCTCCGATGGCAGGCGGCTGGCACGACTCCGGCATGCGGAGACCCACCACCCGGACGAGCCGAAGGACCTCTTCCTCCTCAAGGTGGGCACGGCCACTGGGGCACGGAAGGCCACCGTTGCCAAACTCAGTGCGGGTGTGGCGAAGCGCATCCAGCGCCTCAAGGCGGGGGAGGCGGGCCACCATGACGTTGT